ATTGTACATTTCCTCTGTTATAGCAGAAGAAAGATAAAGTTCATTGACCTTTTGTGACAACGTGCCCCGCTATATTGGATAAATAAATTGTAACAGTGAAGTCTGCCAATTAACACTTTCAGCTAAACGTGAACAGCAGAAAGACAAAAACGTTAAAGGAAACATTCAAAAGCATCAAACCATTGTAGTGACCAATAATAAATTGTTTATTTAAAATATTGAATGTTTTAATGTAATATTGTTATATAATATTTGATACATTTAAATGTATTATATATCAATACATTGTATATTTAGGTGCTTTTTTTTTTTAAGTTTGATAATTCCTCATTTATATCTGCAGGATATTCCTTTAATATCATAGTAAACCCAGCTAGAAATATCCCTTGGTGTCATTAACTTTCAAAAATGCAAAAAGATGCATGGAGAACAGAAGAAATATTCAATTTAAACTGTTAATTTGGGGGTCTTCTTTTTAGGATTTTGTGCCCAATAAGTGAAGTCACTGTTTGATTTAAAGTGACAGCTCATTCAAAAATTCAAATTTTTTTCATCATTTACTGACTCAAGTTGTTCCAAACCTGTAGGATTTTCTTTCTCCTGTTAAACATAAAAGAAGATATTTTGAAGAATGTGGGGGGGGATCAATACACACAAGTCAGTGGGGACCAGAAACTGTTTGGTTGCCCACATTCTTCAAAATATCTTCTTTTGTGTTCAATAGAAGAAATAAATTCATACAGGTATGAAATAACTTGAGTGAGTAAATGATAACAGAATTTTTATTTTGGGTGAACTGTCTCAGAGTTACGTGCACATATATACTCCACAAAGCAGAAAGAAAGAAATTATTTTCAAGAACAACTGATTTTATTCATTAAACAACTGATAAATGACTACTGTGGACAATTACAAGACTTATGTCTGATGAATCCACATGCAGAAAAGGCATAAATCTATTTCAACTGAATTTTGAACTTGTTAACATAAACAGATACATTATAAAATTACATCTGTCTGGTTCTAGTCATTAAAATATGGGAGCATCACTTCAGGCATCTTTATTTTGCAACACAGAAATTATCAAGTTAATACTGGGTCAAAGATTAAAACAATAAAAAGTGAAATAAAAATAACTTAGATATCCACTAATTGTAAAAAATTGTTCATTTTAAATATAAAAAAAATGAACAAAAACAGTTATACTTCTAAGTCAGCACAGTATATCTCTGTTTGCAAACCTAAAAGTATTAAACCAATAAAATAAACCAGTAATATTTTGCTTTTCATATTTATTCTGCATCCAGACGTGTATAGGAGTTTAATTTTTTTGTTTAACAATCTAGAAAGTTTGCAGCCATCAGAAGCTCCAGAGCTATTTCTGGGGCAATAGGAAATTCTGGGATTTCTGTTGAACTATTAGTATAGCGGACTTTATATGTAAAGTACATGCACACTTTAGAAAGAACGTGAGATGGGATCTCTCGAAAGTTGACCTCATTTGTTTCATTCTCAGCAAACTGGCCTGAAAACAGACAAAACAATGTTACTCTCACTTTTATGCTTTATCAAGATAAACATAAATAAAGAAAAAAATACACAATTACAATACAAGGATCCTACAGTAGCAATGCAGGAAAACAACAATACATTCAAAAAAAGAAAACAGACAAAACAATGTTACTCTCACTTTTATGCTTTATCAAGATAAACATAAATAAAGAAAAAAAATACACAATTACAATACAAGGATCCTACAGTAGCAATGCAGGAAAACAACAATACATTCAAAAAATACATAACACCTAATAAACAATGCAGCAGTAATCATTTAAACTCTAATAGATAGATAGATGTATGTATTTTAAATTAACATAATCCACTGTTATTCGTTCCTTTTTTAACAAATACTCACCAGGACCACTAAGCATAGCTTTGATTGTTCCAGATGTAAGAGCATGTTCTCTCTTCACAATAAACTCATGGCCATCAGAGGAGATCAATTTCACGTACATGGCATCTGGCCCTTCACAGCCACCATAGGTTTTTTCTTCTCCATCTAAAATGTATTAACGCGATCATACCCTCAAACCACCAACATAACATCATGCAGAAAAAAAACAGTATTATATCCCTTAATTTAAGAAATGCATTTTTAAAAGTCCCATTTGGTTTATTCTCCCAATAACACAAACTGACTAGGTCCAGGTTAAGTAGTTAATTAATTTGTTTACAAAAACTTAAAAATGTCTTACCCATTCTTACTGCTTTCCCTTTTCAGTCTCTGAAATATTAAGAAAGAAATGAACCGTTTTAAATTAACAGAAATTAACCCCACAAAAATATAATGCAGCAGCGTTAGTAATAGCACATATAGATGGCCATGAAAATGGCTGACCAAGAACCAATTGTCTGTGTAATCTAATTTATATATTTTTTTTTTAAAATAAATAAATATTGACTGACATTTGGCACAAGAATAAAACAGCTCCACTAGTCCTGTGGGAGTCTGGGCCATGCATGCAGTACAATACATCATTACCTTCCCAGTTAGCTCAAGCACAGCGTACAAATCGCATTTTTCAACAAATATTCCAGTAGACAGCACTCGCACGAATCAAGATTAAATAGTCATAATTAAATAAACGATATAATGTTTCAACTCACTAAGATCGAGCTGGTGGTCGGGGCAGTTTTTTCAGTTTTCTCTCCGATACGCTTCTGGGAACTGCTTCTTCTGTTGTCACTGCCGACAACAGGAAACAATTGTCGGGCAGAGAATCAATGCACTTCCGTTATAGACATTACAAAATAAGAGTCCTCCTCCATATGCTTTAATAATTAATAACACATCAGAATTGTGTGTTTTCGGTTGAAGTGTATTTAAAGTGTAATGTGTAAGATATATACTTCTTTACACCTATGATGTTTTTTGTGCAGCCTATAATCAGATGGACTACATGTGTGCTCGCAGACCAAATTGCTTCCGGTGGTTAGTCGTCTTGCTGTCTGAGGAAGTAGGAAAACGCCACATGATAAAATGTATCAGATTGGGATTTTACAGGGGTTTCGGCGTCTGTCAAAAAACCAGCAACAGATCATAAGAAATCTCCAAGTCGCTGTTCGTCCGATATTACACAGCAATGGGAATATTTGCCACACTCATGCTGCGGTTTTAAGGAGGCAGGATCATTTGCTGCATGAGATGCGAAGGTCATTTTTAAAAGCCCGTGCAAAAAAGGTAGCCTACCTAGTAGAAGACTATCAAATATGCAATGACTGGACAAAAAAGGCCGGTTGTTATTTCTTTTATGTTTTCATCATTTGAATGAGCAGAGAAGAGTCCAACCAGATCCACAGATCCGGTCCAACAACATAAAATACGTTTATTATTTAATTTAATTTAATTAATTTATTTGAGCAATTTCTAATATACAATAATAATAATAATAAAATGAATTGAAATAGGCCTGTCCTGCAGAAACATATCAAAAGAAAATGTAAAAATATATAAAATGTAAACGTAAGATAATGTAACTATAGGCTATTTAAAATATATTTAGATCCACATGATCTAATTAGGTGCTATTTTCAAAAATGATTATGACATATTTATAGTGCTCGAAAAGCTTAACAGTTGCAGCTTTTAAAAATGCACTTTATTTTTCAAAATACATACATTTTTATTAATGTAATGTTTTATTAGTGCATTAATTTTATTCTAAAAAAATATCAAACAATCTAACAATTTGAATCTAAAATCTGAAGAAAAAAAAAACATCTATACTTAACTGAGAAGCGGTTTTTGTATCTGAGTGTTCAGAAGTGCTACTCTTAATAGATTTGTATCTCCGTAGGTCCAACCATATTGTGCTGTTAGATGGTATAAACCCTTACCAGTCCAGCCTGAAGATGGAGAATTGATCTACACAGGCAACCTGGGAAAAGCTGTCCTTGGTAAATTACCTGGCTTAAAGAACATGCAGCATCTATACCTGTAAAACACCACATAAACTACCAAACAGACACAATTATCAAACGCTGCAGTGAATTTCTTTACATTAGACTTCTAAAATAATCTAACGAGTTAAATCTGCTCTTTTGTTGTAGGCGTGAAGTTTTTCTCCTACTCCAGCAGCATGTTTAGTCTCTGCGTGATGCCATATGTCCTCCTGAAAACAGGCATAGGTGTAAACAGCTTGGCACTGCAAGTGGCGTTTTGTGGCATTATAGGTTTCTTCACATTTCTGACTCCTGTTCTCCTCCACTTGATCACCAAAGGTTATGTAGTACGCCTGTACCACAACAAGGAGACAGAGATGTACACGGCCATCACTTACAGCGCCCTTCTAATGGCGAAACGGACTGTGTTCCATCAGAGTGATGTTGTTATCCCTGATGTCAGTCGGATGTTCACCAGTTTTTATGCCAAGAAACGCTCACTGCTGGTCAACCCAATGCTTTTTCCTCTGCCCCACGACTACAACCACCTCATGGGTTATGACCAGCCCTTTTCTTTTGACACAGATGACCTGAACAAACCAGAGAAAAGTTAACTTGTCCAAGCCAAGTCTGTCCAGTGCTCCGGGGCAACCAAAATGTCTACTAGGAATTTCTTTTCATCATTTCAATGGACCGTTGTAATGTATTACATATTGACAGGCTGGTATGTCATCCAGTATAGTTGTGATGCAGAAACTTGTACGAGAGTGTAAATAAATGAGAAGTCATATTTAGCATTTGCACTCCCTGTCTGAATTCCCTGCTTGTTGCATTATTCTACATCTTTCATCGTCTAACTTCTATTTTCTTGTACTTCCTTATTCTCACACTATTTGTTTATAGAGGTACAGCCTGTGACCTTTCTATCTAAAGGGGAAGTTAAGTGCACGGCATTACTGTGACACATTATAATAATTTCAGATAAGTAATATCTGTTAGCCTACGAGTTTTATTCACAAAAACATGACAGTTATGTTTTTGTACGCTTCAGTTTTTATTTTTTATATTGTAGCATTGCCTCGTGTGTCTTCTGCCTTTGCAGAGAGAAGATTATTCTGCTCCTCAGACCATAGTAGCATTTGGTACAGCTATGAAGGTGAGTTGAATAACATTTTTGTTAATGTGCTGTTATACTTAACTCTAATTGCTAAATTATACTGTTTGATCTATTCAAAGCCTGTATTAGTATTTGACATTTTCAACTGACTCAGTGGTTTAAATCATTATCAGCAAAAGAAAGATGTGTTCACAGATGTTTACATAGAGAAACGTTTCTAACAAGACTATTACTTATAACTAATTTGACTAATAATTTGTTATTTAGATTGTCTCCTTGGAATACAGAGCCCCTAAACGGAAATGGTGATGCAAAAAATATGAGATGGGTGGGAAAATTATATTTAAATGCTTTTGGATTTAAATGCAAGAGTATTGCGTTATCACGAGAAATTTGCCATTTGCTTGCTAAAGCATTGAAATATAGTTTTCCTCCCACATTCATTGTATTTCTTGCACAGATGTTTTGAGAGTGAATGCCAAGTTTCTCGGGGAAATGCAAAAGTTTTCTGAGAGAATGTAAAAACATTTTCCCCATTACCATGTCCTTTTTTAATCTTAAACCTATAAGCTACACGTGTACTAGTTTTGCACAGTGATTGCTAGAAGGTATTTTTACTCTTTCCATAATTTTCTTTGCGCTCTCATTAATCAGGGCCATTGTATTACTTGTCCGTGACTGCTTCCCCCTGCTCTCAAGAAGTGACCCGTTACGTTATGACTTATACAGTAATCCCAAGTAAGTTGATGGAAATCGAATAGGCCAACCCAAGAATCATTACATTATGTAATGCATATACATTATCAGGGTTCCCACTGATCATTTTCCAGGACTTTTCTAGGACATTTGTAATTTAATTATGGCGAGTATAAAAGACAAGGATCACACCCTAAAGTAATATATTCCTCTCTCCGGAGGTCTTTAAAAGTCCTTCAGTTTATGGCCATGACATAACTATAATAAAGCTCTTAATTATACATTCCAACAAATGATTTTCAGAACCAGTTTAAATACCATTGCAAAAATGTTTAAACTATTTATCTATTTGAACACAAAAATAAATTAAATGTGTTCATTATTAATGGTAATCATAATATTAAAGAAAATAATAAATTAGCAGGTATCCTTCAAATATAATTAAGCATTGCTTTTAAAAAAAAAGTCAAGTAAAAAGTTACATTGTCTCATTTTCCATGTGTTTTTCAGGACTGGAAAATTAGTCATCAATTTTCCAGATTTTCCAAGACATGTGGGAAGTGCATACAATGCATAGCAACTTGGAATAATGTTTGAGCTCGCAATTAAAACTGTATAATGCCATTTTTTATATAGCCTTTGTAACTTTGAAACTTTTTGTTATTTAGTGTTCACAGTTGCTCGTTTCGATTATCATGCTCGTGTTTACGTCAAAGGTCAGCTCTGGTTTGAGTACACACAGCCATATATTCCTTGTGAGGATATCAAAATCTGTTACATCATCAAAGGAGGTACTACATGAATATGTTTACTGCACTTTATCTTTTGTTGTAGCGATGAGTTTGTGGATATTGATAGAGTGCTTCCTAGTTTCAGAAACACTGCATGAAACCTGTCCATTTTATTTTAAAAGAAAAGGATTTTTCGCTACTCAGGTGAGATGTCTGTACCCATTTTATTATAAACAAGATTTTATCAATTGTTCCTGTAGCTTTACTAGTATAACATGGCAATGCAATGGTCGTGTGCTTGTTTCCCTGTAAAAAAAAAAAAATGTATGCAGTGTTATTTAGATTGTCTCCTTGGAATACAGAGCCCCTAAACGGAAATGGTGATGCAAAAAATATGAGATGGGTGGGAAAATTATATTTAAATGCTTTTGGATTTAAATGCAAGAGTATTGCGTTATCACGAGAAATTTGCCATTTGCTTGCTAAAGCATTGAAATATAGTTTTCCTCCCACATTCATTGTATTTCTTGCACAGATGTTTTGAGAGTGAATGCCAAGTTTCTTGGGGAAATGCAAAAGTTTTGTGAGAGAATGTAAAAACATTTTCCCATTACCATGTCCTTTTTGAATCTTAGACCTATAAGCTACACATGTGTACTAGTTTTGCACAGTGATTGCTAGAAGGTATTTTTACTCTTTCCATAATTTTCTTTGCGCGTTTTTTTTTTTCTCAACATTTTGCTTATTCAGTTTAATCTGTTACCTCAGAACCTCAGGTGCCAGCAAAAGAGAAGTGATAAAAACTCAATGGATGTTTTTATATACAGTATATATATATATATATATATTGTGCCCAGAACAATTATTTCTTAACAGAGGCTATTGCTAATTCAATTCATGTACTAATTACTGTTAATTTGACAATTGATGCTCATGAATCACCTCTTGTGGGCTTTGAATCTCTTTTCACGATTCTGTTTGATGCCGTTGTTATGAAATTAAAAAAGCCAATGCTCTCTTCAATCAGGGCCATTATATTACCTGTCAGTGTCTGCATCCCCCTGCTCTCTAGGAATGTCTGAGTACAATTTAACGTGTACAGTAATTCCAAGTAAGTTTATGAAAGATGAATGCTCTATATTGATTATGTTATGCATTTAATATAATGTATACTTTATGGACCTGCCCATAGGACTCAAGCTTCGCTATTCACTACCTGCAAAATATTTATTATAATAATTATATCTAATAAAAATAATAATAATTATAATTGTATTTTATGAATAATAATTATAATTCCAATCAATTGTATTATTATTATTAATTCCTTTTTTAATTATTATTTATTTGACTTGTTATTCCTTTAGTGTTCACGATCACACGTATTGGATTTCATGGTCTTATTTACTACAAAGATCAGCTGTGGTTGGATCACGTGCAGCCAGATGTTCCTTGTGAAGATTTGAAAATGTGTGACATCATCAAAGGAGGTACTACATATTAGACTGTTTTACTACATTAAAACACAATGGTTCAGCTGTGTATTAATTTGTCTCACTGAGACCACATTCTTTGTTTTAGAAACGCTTCATGAAACAGTTCCAATTTATATGAGAAAATATCATGGTCCTAAGGTGAGCAAATCTAACAGGTAAAAATATATAGAAAAATTCTGTCACAACACTTCATATATATATATATATATATATATTCTTGTCCAGAGATTTCATTACTAACACTAACCACCAAACATTTAAAAAAGGCCAATGAAAATGTGATCCTTTGACGCTATGAAATTAATTTGATTTTGTTTTCCTTTGCAGGGAGAGTATCAGATTTACTTGGATGTGAACATTGTCGATGATGCTGAAAGAATGCTGACATTACGTTTCAATATCACTATGCAAATTAAAAGTACTGATCGTAAGAATAACATTTTTCAACAGCTGGGAGGGCTATAGGACAAGAAAATCCTATTTTTAATTAGTAAGACAGCAAAGACAAGGATGCATTAAGCATTTAAAATGTAACAAAGATTTCTATTTCATATAGCACAACTTTTTTCAATGATGATAGGAAATTTTTCTTGTGCTCCAAATCAGAATATCAGAATGATTTCTGAAGGATCATGTGACACTGAAGACTGGAGTAATGGCTGCTGAAAATTCAGCTTTGCTGTCACAGGAATAAATTACATTTTAAAATATATTAAAAAGAGTTATTTTAAATTGTTATAATATTTCATAATATTACAGTTTTTCCTGTATTTGTGATCAAAGAACAGATAATGATTTATCATTTGAATATTTCTTTAATAATATCAAGTGATTGGCTCATTGTTGAGAGTCATGATATGGTTGTAGTTTGTGAAATGTTTATGAATGTGTAAATAAATTGCATTTAAGTGCAAACATCCACTGAATTTACTGTAAGATTTTATTTCGTGGCCAAACTTCTGTTTACCGGCACTTCTTTGTTCACATACTTACAGGGGGAAAAAACATGATTCACGGTTCAGTCCAAAAGAGAGGTTTGGCAATAATGCAGTGCATTGTCCTGTTCTTATTAGAATGTGATTTGTTCATATCCCAGCTTTCCAGAAGAAAAACCATTAAGATAAAGAGATTTTGTCACTGGTTTGTTTTATTAAGTAAGAACAGCAATGATGCTTCTACTTTCAGCTTTTCTTTGCTATATGTTGGCATTGTCTTCTATGTCCTCGACAGAGCACAAGTATTTTGCTCCTCAGAAAGTGTTAGCATCTGGTACAGCTACAATGGTGAGATCAGTTGTTGTTGTTTATTTTTTTTTATTCAACAATTTACTTATTCAGTTTAATCTGTTACCTCAGAACCTCAGGTGCCCGCAAAAGATAAGTGATACTTGTGAAAAAAAAAATCTATGGATATTTTCTTTCTTTTTTTTACAATTTACTTATTCAGTTTAATCTGTTACCTCAGAACCTCAGGTGCCCACAAAAGATAAGTGATACTTGTGAAAAAAAAAAATCTATGGATATTTTCTTTCTTTTTTTTTAAATAGATAATTTAAAAATAAATAATTTTGCCCAGAGCAATTCTTTCTTAACCGACTGTCTTGCTATTTCTTTGATATGTAATTAAAAAGCCAATGCTCTCTTCAATCAGGGCCATTATATAGAGGGTATAAGTTTGAAACTATTCAAAAAGCTAAGATGCGTGCAAAAAAATATGACAAGGGACAATTTGTTGCAAAGAAAAATAAGAGTAGAAAATTCTAATAAGGTCTATTTTGTAACAAAATATAATAGGAATGCTGAAAAAATTAAATTATTCGGAAAAAATTGGGGTATTCTACAAAGTGATGAATTGCTGAGAAATATATTTCTAGATCCTCCAATGATTAGTTTTAGAAAATGTACAACCTTAGGGGACAAATTAGTACATAGTTATTTACCACCCAACCATGTAAGTTCTTGGTTAGGGAATACACCTAAGGGTTGTTTTAAATGTCATCACTGTAACCATTGTGATAATGTGGTACAAGGTAAAACATTCTTAGATGAAAATACGAATAAGGTCTAACTAATAAGTGTCAAACTACCCATGTTATTTATAGACTAGAATGTCCTCAGTGTAAGGTGTTTTATGTTATAATTAATTAATGCATAATAGTAATCCTTCGATCCTTAGAATACAAGGTATTGATCATATAAATATTACTATTAGGAAAGGCAATAGAGAACTTAAACTTAATCAAAGAGAGACATTTTGGATTTACAAATTAAAGGCCAATATGTATCCAGGATTAAATGAGGACTTGGATTTTACACATTTTTTATAATTTAGTTTTCTCTCTCTTTGAAGTATTATTCTTGAGTATGAAAATATGCTGGGGGTTTTTTAGTGTGAAAATTGCTGTCTTTGTGAATGTGTAAAGCTATAGAGAGTTGTTGGTCACATGACTAGTATGATCAGATGACTTAAGGAGTGACACTGCTGTCACCTGCGCTAAGCTTGTTGTTTGCTCTCCCTGAAGAAGGCTTGTGCCGAAACGCGTTGGAGAGTTTTTAGATTTCTTGGATGTAGCCATTTGATAAAAAAAAGGCTTTTTAATTCACAAATTGAACGAAACTTCATTCATCAGCACCATGATATGCCAAAGTTGGAAACAGCGCCACCTACAGGATATGAGATACCAAAAATTGACATTTTTGCTTATAACTTTTGAACAGTTTGTCAGCAAATAATGACCTTGATGTCTATGGATTCCTTGAATTCTGCCAGGATCTGATCAGCCGCCTGTCCGCCATTTTGAAATTTGCTATAAATTGCAATCTCTTTTGAACTATTTGACATATCGGCACAAAAATTGATAGGCATCATCTACAGCATGTCCCGGAGATACCTGAAAGAGAGATATAAGGATTTTTGCAAAAAGGCTTATAACTTTTGAAAACATTGTTCAAAATTATTTTTCTCTGTGTCTTTATTTTCCTTGGTTTATGCCGATTCTGACGTTATCTCATATACCATTTTCCACCAATTTGTCTGGCCGCCATATTAAAGTAAATCAAAAACAGTTTTTTCGCTACTCATCCTACAAATTATCCAATTTTGTCCAAATTGTGATCAGATGATCTTTGGACCGAGCCGCACAGAAATGACTGAACATAATTTTGATATTTGCTTCCATTCCAAAGAAATACCTCAACGAAGTTGACCGTGCCTGCATTTGTTGACTTATGCTAGTTAGCTTAGCATGCTAATTGGTTTGCATTCTTTCTAATGTGACTCTTCAGCTATTAGGTCAACCATTAGCTACATTAACGTTAAGTTAGTTTAGCATGCTAATTTGGTCAACATGTTAAGTAATGCTTTCATGTGCTCATTCTCGCACTGAAAGTTCTCCTTGGCAGCCTGTTGAAGGAGTGGTGCACTCTGTTAAGCCACTGGCCCTGACCCTTTCAGATTGTGGCTTCGAATTCTGTGTGGCACATAACATGCAGTGCTTTTATATACAAAAATATAAGAGTGTTTTGTGCTTTTGAGATGTTTTGACTGTTAAGTGTGATGTGCTTTGATGAGTGTGCTGTGATTGTTATGCTTGCTGTGCTTTCAGTAGCAGTGGTTGCTATGCTAGCTGTGCTTGCTGCACATTCGGGGCTTAGCCCTGTATTGCTGATAGCAGCTATATTTATTATTGTATTTTATTCATAATAATTATAATTAATATAACAATGTAATTTGTTATTATTATTATTAATAAATTTTTTTAATGATTATTTATTTGACT